GTCGGATTTCTTTCAATTTTTCTTGAACTCGTTTAGTCCCTCGTTTTATAACTTTTTTTTGGGTCCTTTTCATTTAAAGTATCGATGGCAACAGGCCCAAAATATAGCTCTTCATCTTTATTATAGAGCTCTGCCATAGATAAGCGAACTTCTTTATATAAACCAACTTTATCGGCATCATAGTCAAGGTTTTTATAAAGCATCCTTGCTTTATAGCTGATAGCACAATTTATAAGGTTCTCTACCTTATTATAATCTCATTTAAAGTTTTTTCTTTTTGTTTTATCAATGAAATCAGCCATTTTGAGTGAAAGTTGTCAGCAGTATAATTTTAAATGCAAATAATAAAATTGAAATTTAATTATAAATTATAAAAGCAAAACAATTAAAATTTTAAGCACACGGAAGTTGCCGGTTATTAAGTTTATTATTATACGCGGAAGCTTTCAAATTTAAGAAATGACCCATGCGCAAAAATTTATATAAGAAATTAGACAGCCCGTTTGCCGATCTCGGCAAAAAACAGTGAGATCTCGCTATCCGGGCCAGCTCATTTATTTATATAAACGCAAAAAAAAAAAAAAAAAAATTAAGTTGAAATAAGGGTGACGTCGATATCTCGGCAAACGGGCTAGCTCGGCAAACGGGCTAGCTCGGCAAACGAGCCAGCCCGCTTTCCATATAAACAGGCCCTTAATAAAATCACAAATAAAAGTAATGGCCGGAGCAAGAAGAAGACATTACTTTTGTCTTATCACCGAGTGCCGTGTTACAATATATATATTTAAATTAGATAAATGTTTACAAAATTTAAAATTAAAATAAGATCATCTTAATTTATTGGTAATACCAAAAATAAATTAGATAAAACAAACAATCAGACAAGCAAACAAAAAAAAAAAAAAAAAAAAAGAAAAAGAAAGAAAACTTAAAAGTTAAAAAAAAAAGTGATTAATGATAATGTCAGTAATTATTTAATTTAGTTTTTGAACTTACAGGATCATTGAGTTTAAGGTTAACTTAAATTAATTACATTGTTTTTTAGTGGATGTAGTGTTTTAGATGATTTTATTTTATTGATCTATTTTTATTTTATTTATCTTGTTTTAAGTAACACTTAAAACAAGATAAATCGAAATCTGTGTTTTATAAACACAGCTTCAATTTAATTTTATATTGATTAAGTGAAATATTTTCGGCAACAATGTTAGGAAAACTTTGTTGCCAAAAATATAAAAACTTTCCACAAAAACAGCCCGCGATAGTTTCATAGGAGCAGTATATCGTCATACTTAGCATCCAAAAATAATAAAACAAAACTATATCTTAATTTTGAGCAGCCGTAGTGCAGTGGGTAGAGTAGTGGCTCAAAACCCAAAGGTCCGAGGAGGCGTGAACTTTCCAGTTAAATGCTTTTCCGCCTTGCTGTCTGATATTTTTTACTGGAAGTCCTAACGGTATAGCATTTAACCAGTTACTAAGTTAACGGTATAGCATTAACCAGTTATTATATAATAAATGATAATTAAATACAGTTTACAATTTAGGATCCACCGATTATCTCTAAATGGCAATATTTGCATAGACAAATAACCCTTTAATACAAAATGGTTCTTTGATAAAGATCTTTTTTATATAATTCTTTTAAACAGATTTTATTTTCTTTATAGTAAATATGCAACACAAAGTGTGTTTCGAATCCTAAAACCTACGAAGACTGACATTTTTTGTCGTTGTTGTGGTAAATAAGGTGCTTACAGAAGTCCTTACGGTATTAGCACAGAGCACCAAAAAAGAGAATTTAACTAGGGAATTCTCGCCTTGTTTTTTATGAATGTCGCTTCCTAGGCTAGAGCTGGGGTCGAACCTTGCACCTCTTGGTTCTGAGACAGAACTCTAACATTGCGCTACGGCTGCAACAAACTATTAAATGGAATTATAAAATTATTTTAATAGTTCATATTTATAGAACAAACATAAGATTGACTGAGTTCTACAAATTATGACTCGAATATATTCTAATCGCTAGATGGTAATTAGTTAATTAGATTAGTTACATTGGCTAATTTCTGTTAGAAATATGAAAACGCGGTGTTTCTTCAAGTTCCGACCTCTGAGACGGCCCTGGGAATGCAATCTTAAGGTTTTTCAGGTTTAAGATTTGCAGCATTTAGAACTCTAGTATTGCTTAAATTGACATCATCGTACTTGTTTGCCCCAATCTAACTGTAGGAGACTTTTTACTCTATGATCGACGTGGTTTTTTTTGCCGTATGAACTTTTTTTATGCCACAATATAAAGAAGGTAAATAAAAAAAAAAGTATATACCGCAACAATTAAAGTACTAAAATTACATATATACTTTGTCTTAAGAAGATTATCTTTTATTATTTTCTGTTTTAAAAAAGAATAAGTCCATTTAAAAGAAAAGTCAAAATTTAGGCAAAACTATTTTATTCCAAAGAAATGGACAAGAAATACAAAACCTGTCAATTTTAATTTTTCAAATAGCTCTTAGATATTCTTATTAACTTGATGATCGTATTTGTTTTTAGATTGCAAATTATAAAGATTTATAAGTACACTAGATGAAATATTTTCTTAAGATTCAAACAAAAACATAAAACGAGGAGCTCTGTAATAAGACCGTTTGAATTTCTTAGTTAGTCTATAAATTTAGTTGGGTAATTTTAGTCAAACTAAAATTAGTCGACTAATTTTAGTTAACTAAAAAGTTTTAGTTACGGTTTTTTTAGTTTAGTTCGTTACAATTTTTAGTTTTGATCACAATACTACTGCGAACCGGTAAAATGCAATCACTTTTGCGAAGTAAGACATGTTTTAAAGACCACAACAGTTATGATATTTAAAAAAACGTTTGCTCGTCAATTTTTTAATTTAAATTAAATATAGTTTAATTTGATATATTTTGATTAAATTAGATTTTATCTCTTTTAAATTAAATATAAGTTATATTTCGGCTTGAAGTCCTTAAAATATATTCTAAGCGGCCGTGGCGCAGTGGTTAGGGCCCATCCATAAAAGACGTCATCCAAATAGGGCGGGGGAGGGGGTCGAGTTAAAAAGGAAAAAAAAGGACAAGGGGTGAGGGGGAGGATGTCAGAGAAGGACGATTTTTTATTTTAGTTTAATTAACATGGAAAACTACGTAACCATGTGTTTTTGAGAATATTTTTAATCTTATTTTTCAAAGGTGTAGCAGCAGATTCAAACATCATTGCAAGATGAAATAAATTTTTATGGAGTTAAAAATAGGGAGGGGGTCAAGATTTAATGGTATCTTTTTCCAAGGGGGTATAGGGAAAAAGGACAACCGGTGATAAAGGAAGGGGAAGGGAGTCAAAAGTTGGCCTAAAAATGGTGACGTCCTTTGTGGATAGCCCTTTAGAGCGCTTGCTTTAGAAGCAGGATCCAGGTTCGAAACGAACTCTGGACATATTTTCGTCACACGATAAGAAAGGAGGCGGGAACTTCCTAGTTAAATGCACTTCCGCGGTGCTCTGTGACAATACCGTTAAATCGTCTTGGGGCACCTAAATAACAAAATTAAAAAAAAAAGAAGTAAAATAAACAGTTTAACGGCAAACAGAAAAATGAAAAACACTACATCAGTAACAACGAATGGTTCACAAACAGCATTAACAATTATGGTTCGCAAAAGATCTTTTGCGAACTGCGAACGAACTCCAGAGTTGCGAACTTGCGAACTGCGAACGAACTCTTGAGTTCGGTTTTTACAGACTACCAAGTACCATTGCGTGTTTTTGTCAGTGGACTTTGATCGATACTTTCCCGATTACTTTGGTTACAAGTATGCGCGCGTGTTGTTGTTTTTGTAAGAAATTTGAGTGTAAACACTCGTCTTGTATATATTATAAAATTATTTTTAGCTCAAACGGATTAAAAATTTTTTAAATAATAAACAAGCAAAAATAAAAGTATTTTATTACTATCACCTTAATTATATTAAATTATTTCATAAGTAATAAATACCAATGCATAGTGTTTTTTTAATTTAATTTTTTTTTGATAAAAAAATAGTTTTTGATTTTTTATCGTTTATTTTAATAGCATCAGCAAATCAACAATATCGATAAACGTAGTAGTAGTAGTAGTAGTAGTAGTAGTAGTAGTAGTAGTAGTAGTAGTAGTAGTAGTAGTAGTAGTAGTAGTAGTAGTAGTAGTAGTAGTAGTAGTAGTAGTAGTAGAAGTTGTAGTAGTAGTAGTAGTAGTAGTAGTATTAGTAGTAGTAGTAGTAGTAGTAGTAGTAGTAGTAGTAGTAGTAGTAGTAGTAGTAGTAGTAGTAGTAGTAGTAGTAGTAGTAGTAGTAGTAATAGTAGTAGTAGTAGTAGTAGTAGTAGTAGTAGTAGTAGTAGTAGTAGTAGAAGTAGTAGTAGTAGTAGTAGTAGTAGTAGTAGTAGTAGTAGTAGTAGTAGTAGTAGTAGTAGTAGTAGTAGTAGTAGTAATAGTAGTAGTAGTAGTAGTAGTAGTAGTAGTAGTAGTAGTAGTAGTAGTAGTAGTAGTAGTAGTAGTAGTAGTAGTAGTAGTAGTAGCAGTGTTAGTAGTAGTAGTAGTAGTAGTAGTAGTAGTAGTAGTAGTAGTTGTAGTTTTATCATTAATATTGTTATAAGTGCATCTGGTGTTATTATTTCAGTTATTGTTGTTGTTGAATTAGTTCATTAATATGAGCAGGTTAAACAACATCAATAATAGAATAAAAATAATAATTATTATAAAAGATGAAAAAAAAAAAAAAAAACAGTAACAGTTGCGCTAAAAATAATAAGGAATTCAAAAATAATGACAAAAATTAAAAAACACCCACAAGTTAGCTGATGCAATTGCTGTCAGCAACAACTAGATTTTATTGTTTTAACAATTGTGACTGCTATAACAGTATTATTAAACAATAATTTTATTGTTGTTACAGTTGTATATTACGAATAATTTATCATTCTATTTTTTACTTCTTTAAGTTTTATTTGAAGCCTTTTACAATATGAGCAAATTAGGTGACATAAGATTGCCAGAAGAAAAAGTTGTATTTTTTAAGAAATTGACAAAATCTCAACTTAAGCCATTGCCAGAAATAGAAGGGAATACTCCAGAAAACAATGTAATAAAGCTTCTTGAGGAGGTAATTTAGTTTGTTTGAAATAAAATCATGTAAATAGGCATAAAGATTTTAAAATTTTAATCAAAAATATGCAAATTAAAATATTAAAAAGGTATATAATTGTAGCATAACCCAACATGTAGCAAATAGATTGCAGAAATATAGGCATTATGTTAACATTGCTTAACCCGGATGTACTTCCATACTATCCTATTTCACTGGTATAGGCAGCCAAGCTAATGCCTCTAAACTTTAATTTAATAGTGATAAAATTAAACATTGATAAGAAAAGCAGAACATTGAGCAGGAAAAAAGTTTGTCACCATTTTGTCTGTATGTTATGTCACTGTTATTATCATTAATTTTATAGTTAGGAAGCAGTGTAACTGATCTTAGATAAGAGTAGATTTTTTTGATAAAATAGTTATGGCAATTTTTCTGATCAGACAAATAAACAAAGTATATTATCATATTATGTATTTTAATCATAAAATATAGTTTTATGAATGAAAATATGTTTTTTTTTTCCATTTAACAAAGGAGTTATTAGTACATTGAACACTTTTGCCATTAGCAGTCTAAAGAAAAGTATTGAAACAATAGTTTCAATATATAGTTATATTTTTTTCTTATAGATAAGCAAGCTGAGGAGAAAAGTTAATTATTTTTCTTTACATATTTAGAAATCATACACACTGTGTATATATTCCTCCAAAACATAAGCAACCAATTAAATAGTTCTACTAAAACTCTTTACTCAAAATCAAATTTTTTACTATTGCATATAAGGTAAAGAAATGTACATAATATGACTACCTGAAATTGATTAAACATGTTGTTTTCATATAGTCACATTTTTTATGTAAAAGTACATTATACCAAAAAATTGGCCACTTTTTTATGTTCATTTTTGAGAATGCATTATTGTCTCATTATCATAGATTAAAGAAAGGAATAAAACAAAAGAAATTACCACCATGTACAACATTAACAATTCAGTTATATGTTGAATAATCAAGCAATCTTATTAAGGCAGTCCTTTACAAATGTAACATAAGTGTGTGTGTGTGAGAGAGTGAGTGTGTATGTGTGTGTGTTTGTGTGTGTGTGTGTGTGGAAAAATACTATATTATAATTCAAAAACCGAAACTTTAAGAATCCAAAGATACAGTTTACAGATAGTTACAACTTCTGGTCTCCAGCCTTTTTATTAAATAAAAAAGTTTAAAAATCTAGAATTAAAATGCTCATAGACACTGATCTATTAATGATTGTAAAATAGTATTGTGGAGTGATAAATCGAAGTACAATTTAAAAGGTCTTAATGGTAAAATATAGACTTAAAGGTGAGTGTTTAGATTCTAAATATACAAAATAAATGGTCCAGCATAATGGTGGAAAATATGCAATAGTTGGGGTTGTTATTCTGAATTTAATGGAGTTTTTGAACCTATCTATTTAATAAATGGCATTGGTTTGTTTCTTTTAATGGTCTTGAGGAAAAGAATATTCCTTGTGCTATTAATGTCTTTAATGTGCTATTAATGTCGTGCTAATAATGTCTTTATAACAAGTCAAAATGACCCAAAACAAATATCTAATGTAAAATGTCTAAATTCTTTAAATAAAAGAGAAACTTTTGAATTATTTGTTTGAAATGATTCAAATTGACGTAATAATTAAGTTAAACTTTCTCTAAAGTACTCTTTAAAAATGCTGATGAGCTATATAAAATAAGCTTTTCAAAAATGCTGATGAGCTAAATAAAGATGTTGAAGACATGTAGAATGAGATTACATGCAAAAAAAAAAAATTGATAAACTCATCAAGTCCAAAAATATGTCCATTATCTTAAAAAGTAAAGGATATGCTATTATGTATTTTTTTTTTTTTGTATTTTTAAAAAAGTTGCTAATTTTTATAAGGACCATATTTTTATATTAAAATACTAAAACATGCTAAACAACACATTCATTTTGATTTGTATTATGTCTTACAAATCTTTTCCTTCTATGTAATATTAAAGTTTTGATTCCATTTAAAGAGTTTTTTCATTTTTTAGAAAAGAATTTTTTTTTTCAAAAAAATTACTTTTTTTAGTAATTTCTGAATAAAAAAAAACAAACTCTTTAAATGGAATTAAAAAAGTAGAATTTTTATTTGTTTACTTATTGTTTGAAGGACAATGTAGCAATGTTACCAAGCAAAATTTAATTCATATATAATAAAAAAGTTGATCTCTTTTTTTACTTATTGTTACTAATGTATCTGATTAAACTTTGAGTAAATTAAAAAGTATTGATACTAATGTATTTGATTAAACTTTATTTCTACTTTTTGTTGTAAAATGTAAAAGAATATTCAAATGTTTTAAAGCATTTGTATCATTACAGTCAATGTAAATTTGGAACAATATAGAAATAGACAGTAAGATTTTATATAATAGAAACATATTTGAATGTTTTTTTAATTTAATTTCAATCTAAAGTAAGCTAAAGTAATTTAAAGTTCCAAACCTCCCAAAAAATAATAATGAAAAAAATTATACAAATTATAAATTATTTGAATTGATGGCATAAAAATTAATGTAGTTTAACTTAATTTAAATTAAAGTTCATTATGATATTAAAAAAGAAAATGGAGTTTTTTTTTTCTTACTTTGATAGGTCTAAAATTGGTCTAAAACAAAACTTAAAATTAAAAGATAATTTTAAAGATAGTTAACATGAAGGCATAATAGTTTCAACACCTCATTTTAACACTAATTCATAATAGTTTCAACACCTCATTTTAACACTAAGGCATAATAGTTCTAACACCTCATTTTAACACTAAGGCATAATAGTTTCAACACCTCATTTTAACACTAAGGCATATTAGTTTCAACACCTCATTTTAACACGAATGCATAATAGTTTTAACACCTCATTTTAACACTAAGTCATAATAGTTTTAACGCCTCATTTTAACACTAAGGCATAATAGTTTCAACACATCATTTTAACACTAAGGCATAATAGTTTCAACACCTCATTTTAACACTAAGGCATAATGTAAAGACATAAATTGGAGATAAAACTTATTTGATAAAGTATACTATAGTTTTATTTAAAATTAAATCCCTTTTTTTTTTTACACTTTTATGTTAAATGTTGAACAAAATATTTTAAAATTGGTTTGTCTTCTTCAACAACTGATAAGTGTGGCGCAGATGAATGATTTTCAGTAAATATTTAGTCATTGTTATCCTTAAAGCTTTTTTGATTTTTTTCAATGTACCAAAAGATATTTTTTGCATCTGCAAAAAAATCATAAGTACTGTGATTACTCTATTAAATGAAATACTTATGTCACAATATGTTATTGTTAACATTTTAAGCAAGTAAAAAATATTTTAGGCAAGAATGAAATAATTTCAACATACTTAATCTCTGTTTTGAAATTTATTTTAAACAAAATGTATAAGTCTATTAAATATTTAATAGTGGTGTAGTGGTAAAGTACTTGCTAGTGAGAAGTTCCATGTTTTATCCCAACCATGTCTCTTGTAGCACAGCCCTCAACTTGTGTTTCCACACAGCAGGTTTTTTTTTTAATATTTGGAGTTAAAGGACTGATAGAGGGTTGTAAAATCAATAAAATTAAAAAGAAAGAGTACCCTCCTCAACTTTAGTACCCCCCTTGGGAGATGAAAACGGTATTAAAAATAAAAAATCCAAAGTTTAAAAAACTTTTTACTGTTTGAATAGAAAGTAAGAAACTATTTAATTAGTAACAATATCTTGAACTGTGTTTAAAGTAATTGATTTGTTTTTTTGTTTTAATGCTATTCACCTCCCCAAGACTGAGAGGGCCACTACAGTTCAGGAGACAACTTCTTTTTTAAATTGTGATAACAATACTTTAACTCAATAACTGATTTAATGGTACTACCAGAGATATGGCAAGGATCAAATTCAGAACGACTTGCTTACAAAGCAAGCACTCAACCACTACATGGTTGTTTTCATTGTTTACCACCACATTGTTTTCAACTTTAAAAAGATGTTCAGGTGTTTTAAAAAGGTAATCTTTACAAAGGTCATCAAATAGTATTTTTTTATTTTCTTATTTATTTTTGTTTAAGCATTGCAATTGTATTTCATTTCATTTGCAAGAGATTTTGCTTCTGCTAGAATGTTATCAAAATTATCACACAATGATTCTATTTTTGTAGTCCAATTTTTAATTTCAAGTACTCCATGAAGGCAGTCTTCTTATAGAGCACTATAGAAAAGTGTTTTACAAAAAAGTTTTTTACTGCTTTCCTTACCAATATTGTATATAGGGCAAATTTGACTATAAAAATAAACTCACTGCGTAATAATTTTGATAAAATTATAGCAGAAGCAAAGTCTCTTGCAAGTGAAATAAAATACAATAACAATACTTTAACACATATTATATTTACAATATAAAAAATTCAGTTACACTAATTTTAGCGCATTTTTTGTTAAGTAACTGCAAACTGATTGAAGTTACTTAACATTTGCTGTATATCCCCCTCAGATTTCTTACTTAATCAAAAGCGTGGAAATGATCATTATGTTTATTATTGTCACTTGATACTTGATATTTGATAACCTTCTAGTTTTTTCAGATTATTGCCTTATTGGGAATTCCTAGATTTGTTTATATTCTAATATATTTTTATTAATTGATTAAAACTTTACTAAATTTCTTACACTTCAGATTCAGAATGATATCAAAGAACTTAAAGACAATGTTTTGCAAAATTTAAAAAATGCCGATTTTTATAAGATAAAAAATAACTTTGAAGTTGCTGAAAAGTTATGGCAGGTAAAAAATGTTTTGTAGAAGTATCAATTGTATTTAAGTAAACATTTTTTATTTGTTTCATTGATTTTTTTTTTTTAAATATATCTTTAATACTTATTATGTGTTATTTTATTAAACTTTAGGTTAAAAAACAAGAAATCATTACCCAAATGGGTAATCTGTGTGTATCTTCAACCCTCAGATCTACATCATTTAATTATGAGTCACATGATTTATCCAGCAATTGCTTTATAAAAAAACAGAGGCAATTATTTATATAAAAAATTTAAATGTATTGATATTAATTGTTGTTTATACTTGTTTAATTTTCCCATTATCACTTATAATAACAAATACCATCCATAAATTTTTTACTTCATCAGTCAATTTTTTTTTCCTAAGTTGGTTTTTTGTTTTATTAATCATTTTTTCTTCAATCAATCTTTAACTCAATCCATCTTTCACTCATTCAAATTTTCATTCATTCACTCAATATTTTAATCTTTCAAAAGCTTGATGACAAAAGATTATAACGAATCTTGAACTCTGCTCTCTGAATCTAAGTTGAATTTCAGACATAGTAGATCATAAAGTTGACTTAAAATTACTCCTAGTCTTGGTTTTTGCATAATTTTTGTTAGGTATGGCTGATATACCCAGAGTTTGTTGATTGAACTAAAATGTCTAATCTGCAATACTATTGCAAGCTGGAAAAACTAAGAGCAAAATTGTTTGATTTTTAACTAAGACGGTTTTTGTAGTTCAGACTTTGATAGTTAAGACTAAATTAATATTAAAATTTACTAAAGAAATTTTTACTAAGTTAATACTTAAATAAAAATAAGTTTACTTTTTACTTTGACAGTTATAACCAATAAGATCTGATAACTCATAAGTAATGACTTATAAATGCAAAGTATGTGTGATGGTAACACTTAACAATCATGTAGGTCATTTTAATGAAAAACAAATGGTTGTTTAAAAATCAAGACTTAAACTTAATCATAATTTAAACTTCAAAACTGATCAAACTTCAAAACTGTTCATGGTGTCATTCATGATGTCATTCAGCACATCAAGTCAACAGATGAAAGGAAAATTCTGTGGAAGATCAAGAATTACTAGTCACAAAATTGATAACATAATATGTTATTTGGGTGTGGAGGACATTTAGATTTCAATCTTACAAATTTTGATTGGTTTCATAAAATAATTCCTAAAGATTGTATCAATGTTGGCAAGAATAGAGCCTGCTCTAAAAGTTTGAGGATCCAAAGTACAAAGTACCTTACAATGTTTTGTACTATAGCTTTTTTTATGTTCGTTTATTTTTGTCTTTTAAATTGAAATGATTTCTAGTAATAAATGTGCACAAAAATGATTTTCTACTATAAATATTGGGCAGTAGGATTTTTTGACCACAGTTGTGTTATTCTTCTTACTGTATTGTTTTTAGCAATTGCAATCACTTTACTTCTGCTCAATTGTTGACAACTTTTAATATTTTTTCTGGCTCCCAAAAATTGTAATTGCAAGTAATGACTCCTTCTCTAAACAGATTAGTCATTGATGTAAAAACTTTTTTTTCAAAGTTATAATGGATTTAAGAATTTAAATTTTTGTCTTTCAATATTTTTTTGGCATAATTTTACTGTAAGTTTCAACCTGTCTAACATTTTTCAACATGACTATGGCATAAGTTTACTATAAGTTTTAACTTATAACATGAGTCTACTATGAATTTGCTTTAATGTGTTATTTGATTTTCATTCACTTTAGATGATTTTGCTTTTCTTAATTTTTTTCCATTCAGTTTATGATTTTTCTTCATTCCATTTGTCCACTCTTTATTTAATTTGTTTTCTCATTGTTTCTTTTTCTTTCTCATCATACAATTATCAAATTTTATATGTTATTTAAAAGTTAATTTAAATAATATATGCTCACCTTTAATTTATAGTTATTCATTATTATTATATCTTTAGTATTTAATTATAGTTATGCATGTTTAACTTAATAATGCATATTTAGTTAATAATTAATTATAATTATGCTTATTTTAACTTTATTAACTCTTCATTCAATTTGAATTAGTAAAACGACAAAGAAATAAAACAAGTCATGCATTATGTCAGCAATTTTGTGTTTTTTTCTTTGATTACAGATTTGTAGGACTCAGATGACCTTAATACACAAAGGTTTTCATTACAATAATAGCAATCAGGGGTGCAGAGTCCCAAAAAGGACTCCAGATTTAAATGTTACAAAAAGATTACTTCTTCCTAGTTTTTGGTATCCAGGAGCTCTAATAATATAAAAAATGCTTATGGACTAATTATTGGTAAAAAAAAAAAAAGACTTTTAGGTTAGAAAAATACTCACTTCTTGAACCTGGAGTCCTTAGGTATAATGGTGGCAAGGACTCCAGGACTCCGGGCTTAAAAACAATATTTTCAAGTCATTAAACTATATGGGTTTTTTTCATATAGCAGATCATAAGTTAACCAAAATGTTCAGAGCTTCTGGACACCAGAGACCAGAAAAAAATAGAGATATAAAGCCGGAGTTCTTTTGGGACTCCGTACCCCTGATAGTAATATATAGTAATAATCATAATAAACTTTTTTAAATAAAAAGGTATGTTGTTATATGAGTTAGATATGATAGTCAACTAAAGAAACAGTTTATAACATTATAGTGAGGAAAAAGATGGAAAGTATTTAAATTATCAATCACCAGAAGGTATTACCAAATATCATGCATTTAACAAATTATCAATTAACAGTCAGGTAATTTTACTTCTTACATATATTTTTGTACTTTTTTATTATATTTGGTTGAGTTATTAAATTATTAATAAAAAAACATTTGTTTGATTTAATTGGTTGTTTCTTTAAACAAAGTTTTTATATAATGTTTTTTGTTTCCTTTTTTGGTCTAAACTTCCAAAGGTTTTTACAGTTTTTGCATTAAAACTTATTTCTCAGTCATCCATTAATACTGGAACAACAACTTGTTTGAGAGTCTCTTCTTTTTATAATTTCAGTTACAAACGGTGAATCATTAACACCTAATTTTATTATGTAGATATAGATTATATTTTATATAATTTATATCTTCATCCTTTTTCCAAATTACTATTTTTTCACTAGTTCTTCCTGTCCATCCTCAAATATTAAGTAAGAAAAAATCTGAATCATTGAGAGACTTTTAAAAATATTAAATTTATCAACACCTTTTAAATTTTACATAACTTTTACAAATTTTACATTTCATTTTTACATTACAAATTTCACATTTGACAAACATTTAGCTATGCTTTTTCTCTAAGATTTTTTTCCTCTTTCTTTTGATATTACCAAATTTGCTTTATGTATGTTCCTGGTTCTGTCTGAAGTTACTTTGCTTTATGTATGTTTGTGTTCTGTCTGAAGTTACTTTACTTTATGTATGTTTGTGTTCTGTCTGAAGTTACTTTACTTTATGTATTTTTTTATTCTGTCTGAACCTCTGGTTCAGTGTTGGTTCACCCATAAGTTACTTTATGTATGTTTGTGTTCCATTTAACACACAACACAAACATACATGTATGTTTGTGTTCTGTCTGGACCTCAAGCGGTGTTTGCTCACCCATAAGTTACTTTATGTATGTTTGTGTTCCGTTTAAGTCTCTGATACAGTGTGAGCTCATTAACTAACTAGTGATTCCAACTATAAAACCTATACTCACCTTAATCTCTAGTCTTTTGTTAGATGTAATATTTTTCCTAATGCATTTCCAAAATATCTTGTTTAATGTTTAAAATTAATGAAAAAAAAAAACAATATTTGCATTAAAAAACATTAAAAAAAAATTTTTTAATTGGTCGGCGCCCAAATACCGTCGATGCTGTCAAAAATGGTCTAGAATAGCCCTGGGTAGATGTAAACTGAATCCAACCATAATTCCCCTGCCTTAGCTCTCTCAGTTAAAAAAAGGCTAGAGATGGTGTCTGGATAAAAATACTCATCTTGGGCAGATGCTAACTGCATCCAGCTACTGTCTTAAAGAAGGTCTCTTAAGCAAAGACTTAAGGGGTAAGCAGAATAATTCTGCTGACCAGCCTTGAACCCCTTCTTCATCTCTGATTTCTTAACCAGCTGTATTATAGCAGAGTATTATCAGTGCTGTGTTGTGCATGGATGGTGTTACATTTAATGCTTTTTGTGCACATTGTCGAGGCCACATAAGGAGCCTTAAGTTACAGTATAGAGTTAATTAACAGGACTGAGACAACTGTATAGCTCATTGCTAAGGAGACTGTGCTCGATCTATGAATAAGTCAAGTTCTCTTTAAACTTAAATCATGCCAAAATTGGCCTTAAATATTAAGCATAAAAAACCATCCCTACTACCCAGCTGTTTTAATATATCTTTTACTAATATTCCTGGTCTGCGAAGCAACCTACCATCAGTTGAATCTGATCTATTGCAAAGTTCACCAGACTTGCTGGCTTTTAGTGAGACTAATTTCAATTCTGCCATTCCTACTTCTTATCTCAGTGTGTTGATCATTATCTCAGTGTGTCAGATGAGTATTATCCTTTGATTTGCAAAAACTTCAATAGTCACATGCTTGTTTTGTTACTATTGGAGTCAATCACAAATAGATGAATTAATAAGTATACATACATATCAGTTCACCTATTTGTTGTAAAATCAGGTTTGACTATTCTTTTATGTGCTTCAGCATAGCATCTCTTCACTCTATGACTTTCTCTTTATTTTTTATTGTTCTCCTTTTCCCAAGACTGCACTTTAGATGTAAGTTCTGATAAAATTGACCATACCTTTTACCCCTCTGCTAACTTTGTTGTTATTGGTGATTTTAATGCTCATCACACTAAATGGTTTGGCTCTAGTGCCACTGAAACTGCTGGCACGAAAGCCTTTAACTTCTGCATTTTTTAATCTCTTACTCAGATAGTTAACTTTGTGACTCGTTTTCCTGACAACCCTAATCACTCACCTTCACTCCCTGATTTGTGTCTTGTCTCTGACCCTAGGTTGTGTTCAGTTTCTCCTTTTTCTCCCTTAGGTGGTTCTGACCATGCAATAATCTCATTAAATTTTTCATCTTTAATTTCTTCAGATTCACCCTATCATCACACTAGTTACTACTACCCTAAAACTAAATGGAATCCATTTCATGATTTTCTTTGTGATTGTGGTTGGAATTTTCTTTTCTCTCTCAGCTGATAAATATGCCTCCTACATACCTACCTACTGGATTCAGGTAGGAGTGGAAGTTTTTATTTCTTCTTGCCAGTTCTAGGTTAAGCCTCATTCTACTCCATGGTTTTCACCTTGTGCAGCTGTTATATCTAATCATAATCATTTTTTTTTTCTTTTTTGAAAGAACAACGCTTTTAAGAACAAATGTCTATTTATTATCGGAAGAAATCAATGTAAAAGAGCGCTGTTTGGTGCTAAGATCCATCTCAGTTCACTAGATCCTCTATCTTATCTCAGAAGTTAGGAGGTTTCTATAGGCTTTCTGGAAAATCATCTTCAGCTGACTTGGTATCTGCTGTGATTGAAAGATTTTATTGTGCATTGTGCATGGAGGTGGAGAGGCTTGGGCTATTGCTTTTGACACATCTTAAGCTTTCAACAAAACTTGGCATGTTGATCTGGTCTATAAGCTTGTTTCATATGATGTATCTGGTAAAGTTTTTGAGATTATCAAATAATTTCTTTCTAACTGCTTTATTAAAGTCATCCTCGAAGAAAAATACTTTTCTCCATTTTGAGTAACTTCAGAAGTACCTCAAGGTTCTATCTTTGGTCCTATTTTATTTCTGATCTACATTAATAATCTTCCTGATAACCTTACATCCAAAGTAGCTCTTTTTGCTGATGACTCAACTTTATACTCCTGTCTTGACAAAAAGTCTTTTCAGTCGTTTAGATTAAGCAGCTGATCTTGAATCTGATCTCACTTCTGTAACAGATTGGGGCTCGCAGTGGCTTGTGAATTTTAAAACTCAGTTGTTTACTGCAAACAACTATCACAATGCTCTTGACATTCATATATTATTGAATGACAACCCTCTTGCTGAGTTCTCCGCTTTATGTCTTCTTGGATTATCATTTAGTACTGACCATGGAAACCATATATACAACCGATTGCTAAAGTAGCATCTGCTAAGGTTGCTTCTTTTTATTGTGCTCGCCATTTTCTTACTCCTGTTTCCATTTTCTACCTCTACAAACCTTTTATTTGTCCTTGTATGGAATACTGTTGTAATATTTGGGCTGGTTTTTTTTTGGGCTAGTTCTACTACTGACGCTCTTCCTCTTCTAGACAAGATCCAAAAATGCAATTTAAATTTAAAGTTAGACCTGGTCTTTATGCCAACTCGAGCTTCTCTCCATTTGTTGTGAAGTTGCATCTCTTTCTCTTTTCTTCAAATACTTTCATGGTAGCTACTCAAGGAAACTATTATCTCTAGTTCCATCAACTAAAACTCATTCTCACTTGAGTCTTCATTTAGTAAAGTCCTATTTTTTTACTGTATCTGTCCATGCATGCTCTAAAAACTTTTAGTTTTTATCTAGTTTTTTTCTCCACACTTAAACTCTTTGAAACTCTCTCCCATTTTCTTGTTTTCCTGACTCATACAACCTACAACTTTATGAGTTATAGAGCAAGGAAACATGTTTTAGAACAAAAAAAATTGTTTTATTTAAAAAATAAAATTTAAATATTAAAAAAAAATTAGCAACATAACAGCATCACAGAATCGCCAATAATATATTAGGCAACATAATAAAATAAGTTGTCCTAACAATAGCCAAATAATACCATAGCAATATATAATTAATATTCATTTAAAAACTTAACTAATTCATTAAGTTTTATTTAAACAACTTCATTATTTAAAAAAAAGTTATAAAAAGTAATTGAAAAGATAACTGTTAAAATTCAACACTCTTAGTGCAAAAGCAGCACTTCTAGTACAAAAGCAGCACTCCTAGTACAAAGCAGCGCTCCTAGTGCAAAAGCAGCACTCCTAGTGCAAAAGCAGCACATCTAGTGCAAAAGCAGCACATCTAGTGCAAAAGCAGCACTTCTAGTGCAAAAGCAACACTCCTAGTGCAAAAGCAGCACTCCTAGTACAAAGCAGCGCTCCTAGTGCAAAAGTAGCACTCCTAGTGCAAAAGTAGCACTCCTAGTGCAAAAGCAGCACTCCTAGTGCTAAAGCAGTATTCCTATTGCAAAAGCAACTAAGATGTAGCTAGTTATAGCTAATTATTAAAAAATTACAAATACAATAATGGTTTCAATTTAAAGTTAAAAGTAACTGATATGGTATATATGCAATATACAGCCACATTATATTGTGTATATTCAATATAACAACCATGTTTTATTGTGTATATGCAATGTAACAGCCATGTTATATTGCCTTTCAATTGAATATTATGAATCAAAACAATTATATTGTGAAATATAATTATTGTAAAATATAGGTTTATATAATAAAAGAAATATCAAAAATTTATATTTAAAAAAAATAACCCAAAATTAACTAAAAGGCTCTTGATTAACTATAGAAATATAAATTGATGATACAAACCACATTCTGGAAGCTTCCTTTATAAATCTTTACCATCAAACATTTCTTATATATATATATATATATATATATATATATATATATATATATATATATATATATATATATATATATATATATATATATATATATATATATATATATATATATATATATATATATATATATATTAGAGTGTTTTTTTTTTTTTTTTTGAATTTGATATTGCACACCCTCTTATTTGGTGAGGTTCAATAAAAAAAGTTCACTAATAAAATTTTTTTTTAAACTGATGATGGGAAGTGGTCCCCCACATCTGTTTTGTAAGCCCTTTAGAACCCTGTTTTTGACCAAAATGACATATTTCTAAAATTTATTAAAATATAAGTATCAGTGTTACATGCATCAGTTTCACTGGGTAAAACTGATGCATGTAACAGTGTTACATGCATCAGTTTTATTAGGGTTAAAAAAATTATAAGAATGTATATAGCAATTACTTATTCCCAGACTCCACCCTAGGAACGCAAGGTCCCAGACCTGTTCTCAAAGCTCTTTTGAGATCCATTTTTGTCTAAAATAATATATTTATAAAATCTATTAAAATCAGCTTGTATTAGTGTTACATGCATCAGTTTTACTTATTAGGGTGATAACAATAAAAAGAATGTATCTAGCAGTGACAAATTCCCAGACGGATATAAAAAAATTTAAATAAACAGATCCTCTAATTGTTTTTTCACTTTGAAAGACCACAAGGAAAACTTCATTAAACATCTGTGTGCCTTTTGAACCCTTCAAAAAATGAGGTAGGACGAATTACTAATGTAATTTTAACAAAAATAAATTGTGAACTTAAAAATAAACTTTTTTTGAATCAATGGCAAAGTAAGCAAAATGTTGTAGACTGGTTTAAAAAAATCACCAATAAGCACTTCTATAAATTCCTAGTTTTTGATGTTAAAGATTTTTACCCTTCCATAAATGAAAACACCCTTAACAATGCTATGAACTTTGCTGACCATCATATCGTTATTAAAACCAAAGATAAAGAATTGATAAAACATGCAAGAAAATCTCTTATCTTCAACAACGATGAAGCATCGAAAAAAGAGGTGGGTTGTTGGATGTAACAATGGGGTCATTTGATGGGCGCTGAAGTTTGCAAATTAATAGGTATTTTCATACTGTATCAAATTTCACAACACTATAATAAAGAAGATTTCGGCCTATATTGTGATGACGTTCTTGCCGTATTTAAGAACAAAAACAGTCAGCAAATGGATAAAATAAAAAAGCATATAACACACATTTTAAAAAGAAACAATCTTCAAATCACTATTCAATCTAATTTAAAAATTGTTAACTACCTCGATGTTATGTTAAATCTAAATAACAATACGTTTCAACCATATTTAAAATCTGATAATCAAATAAGGTACATCCACTCTAATTCTAACCACCCTCCAAGCATAATAAAAGCAATCCCTCACAATATTGAACAAAGATTATCTTCCATGTCAATTAATGAAATATTTTTCAAAAAGGCTATTCCAACGTATGAAGAGGCTTTAAAAAAATCAGGATACAAATCAAACCTTACCTACCAACCACAATTAATCTCAAGTCAAAATCAACAAAAAAAGCATCATAAACGTAATATTATTTGGTATAACCCTCCGTTCAGCTTAAATGTCAAAACTAAAATAAGAAACCATTTTCTAGCCTTTATTGACTTACATTTTCCAGCCGGCCACAAGCTACACAAAATATTCAACCGAAATTATATTAAGATCAGCTACAGTTGCATACCTAACCTAAAATCTATCATAAATTTGCATAATTTCAAAATTTTACACAACAAAAATTAATTAAAAACCAACCAATGAAACTGTGTAGATAATGCATTTTGCCCTTTGAACAATATTTTGGCATCAGTAATACACCATTTAAACCAGGATACGCAAACCTCAAATTATTTGCATCAGTTGAGTATAGAAATGACAGAGAACTATCTAAGGAAATATGGAGCTTAAAAGATTAAAACATAAAGCCCATTATAGAATGGAAAATTGTCAAATGTTGTAAACCATATAATCTAGCAATCTAGCAATTGCCACTTTTGTCTCTATAAAAAATATGTTATTTTATCACATAATGGAAAAAACCTACTGAATAAAAAAAAAACAAAATCATATCTCAGTGTCAACATTCAAAAAATTTTTATTATCTTTATTTGACACAGGGGACTAGTAAACTATAACAGCTTTTTGTTTTTTGTTTTTTGATTTGTTTTTTATGTAGATTTGTTTGTAACGTCAGATGACGTTCTACAGTAATTTTTACGTTTTTGTAATGGTTTGTTTATGCTTTCTGTTTGTATTAACTGCTGCCTTCGGGCATGAAACTTTAAATCCCGCTAATCAGTCATTTTTATTCATC